CATGTGACATCAGTGGTTCAACCGTAATTTTATGAAGCTACAAGAATACTTTTTGTGGTGTTATTTTGTGTCATTAGTTTTTTCTTTGCACACAAAAAGTATTCTCGTAGCTTCATAAAATTACGGTTGAACCACTGATGTCACATGGACTATTTTAACGAATTCCTAACTACCTTTCTGGGTCTGGGAACATTTCAGTTACTTTACTGTCTATGCAGGGTCAGAAAGTGCTCGGATTTCATCACAAAATCTTAATTTGTGTTCTGAAGATGATGGAAGGTCTTTTGGATTTGGAACGACATGAGGGTAATTAATGACACAATTTTCATTTTTGGGTGAACTAACCCTTCAATTTTATGTTATATAATAGTTTGCTTAACATTTCTTAGCCAAAAAATGGCATTTATACCTCTAATGCTAAAGTTAGAAGACCATATTTGTGGAATGTGCCTTGAGAATGCTTTAAAACCATGACCTTCAACCACTAGTTGGACTTTTCTAGAGCCAAATACATAAGTCCATGAATTACTGCATATGCAGTTTTAAATCTTTATCTGATGTGTAAATGTACTCGCACCATCTTTATCTGATACCCTTCACTGTCAACAAACATCCATGTCTTATTGTTATTCATTCCCATTGTCGCAGCATGGTGATGACCTCTCTCTCTCTCTCTCTCTTGCTCTCTTTTCTTTGCTCACTGACGGTGACAAGCTGTTGCTGTGTCCCTCTGGGCGACTCCCTCTCTTGTCTGCGCTCCTCTCTCCTCCCTCTCTCTCTCTCTCCCTCTCTCCACCTGTTGATGCCATTGTTGCTCAGCCAGCATTGTGGTGCTTTATTTTTTTTACTCCACTCATTTTACACACCCCTCTTTATTCTTCACATTCTCACTTTTTTTATCAGCGGTCACCCATTCACTCAGAGGATATATAAGCAGACCGAAGAGAAAAGGCGGCTGAGAACAACGCAAGAAACACACAGACACTCACTCACACATTTAAAAACAAGCACTTTCAAAAGGGCAAGGAAGTTTGCACTAACTCTTCTACTCGGGACCAAGACTTTTGAGACTCACTTGGGACAGCTTCAGTATTGGATCACAACTGCTGGCAGGAGTGATGTCTGTGTCTCTGTGGTGTGAGGAGGAAGAGGGCCAGGACAGGACTCAGTCTTCAGTCCGAGCCCCATGGGACCCCAGCGTCTCCGGACTGAGAGTTATTCAGAGACTTCTGCAGTCCGAGGAGAGATACCTGCCATCTCCTCTCTACATCTCTCTCATCCAGAGAGAACCACAGCGCAGAGGGGAACTGGCCAAGTGGACCATGGAGGTAGATTTGCATGCTAATAACCAAAATCTAGTGCTAGACATCAAGTATGTTGTTCATGTTTTTAATATCAGTAATTTTGTGTTTGAAGCGCTTTTCACAAGTAGGGTACATGCTAAAAGTTTTTTTTTTTTTAAGTTATAAACAAAAGTTGTGCAACAAAGATTATTAGTATTTTAACAAAAAAAAAGTTTTTCTGCTTCAGAATTTTATATTGATTCAATATTTTACTTGTTTGTGAAATTTACTAGCATTTTCTAAGAAAATTTTTTTTATTTTTTTTTCAGTGTAGGGCTTGAATCTTTTAAACTCCATCCTGTCTGGCTGCAGCTTGTGTTCTGGTGGCCTCTAAACTGACAGAAAGTGACACAGTTAGTGCAGACACGCTCTGTGCGGCAGCAGAGTATGACTTTCTCTCATCAAACCTGCGGGTGAGTGTTTAAATAATCAATCAAAATTCACTAAAGGCTCAATATTATGGACAGTGCTGTCCAAAAGTCTGAAACATTCAATAAATCGTTAGAAAATAGTGCTTTTCTGCATTTTTCTAATTTAACACTTTTCCCATTATTAATGAAATCATTTAAGTGAAAAGTGTTGGAAAAAAAGAGTAATAAAATTGACATATACATGTGCATATAGACAGTTTTATATATGTGACCCTGGAGCACAAAACCAGTCTTAAGTCGCTGGGGTATATTTGTAGCAATAGCCAAAAATACATTGTATGGGTCAAAATTATTGATTTTTCTTTTATGCCAAAAATCATTAGGATATTAAGTAAAAGATCATGTTCCATGAAGATATTTTGTAAATTTCCTACTGTAAATATATCTAAACTTAATTTTTGATGTGTAAGATGCATTGCTAAGAACTTCATTTGGACAAATTTAAAGGCGATTTTCTCAATATTTAGATTTTTTTGCTCCCTCTGATTCCAGATTTTCAAATAGTTCTATCTCGGCCAAATATTGTCCTATACATCAATGGAAAGCTTATTTATTCAGCTTTCAGATGATGTATAAATCTCAATTTCGAAAAAATTGACCCTTATGACTGGTTTTGTGGTCCAGGGTCACATATATGCTTACTCCGACAGGAAATGGAGCGTGTGGTGCTGGCGACTCTGCGGTGGGATGTGGCAGCAGTGACTCCTCAGGACTTCATCCCGCACTTCCTGCGCACTCTTGGGGAACTCAGGGACGGAGACGCGCGTACAGGAGACTTTCTCGCAACGCTGCGACGCCACGGCGATACACTTGTTGCCTTGTGTGTGTGTGACTCGCGCTTTCTGGGAAGTCCTCCTTCACTGGTGGCTGCGGCTGCACTGAACTCTGCCCTGCGGGGTTTAAGGGCCAAGAGTGCGGGAGAGCTGAGCGTCATGACCTCTGCCCTGGCCACACTCTGTCAGACTGATGTGGTGAGCCACGATTTATCTCAGAGAGTATGAGAGAGCTAAACATAAAATAATAATAATCATCATCATTTTGGTTACACTTTATTTTAAGGTGTCCTCGTTACAGTGTAATTATACATTTAAGTACTGAGTAATATTAATTAACTGCATGTACTTACTATGTAGTTAGGTTTAGGATTAGGGTTTGGCTTAGGGTTACTTGCATGTAATTATACATAATTAGTTGTTATTATAATTGTAAGTAGCCTACATGTAACCTGTGTAAGAAAGACACCTTAAAATAAAGTGATACCATAATTTTTTTTTTAGAGAGAGAGAGAATTATTATTATTATGACTTGTATATCTGTAACTATTCCTGCTTGTGCCGACAGACGGTGCTGCAGTGCTGCACTGAGCTGATAGAGGGAGCTCTCAGGGAGAGACTGAGGAATGGAGCACATGAGGAGAAAGATGGTGATATTGAAGAGGAAAGAGCCAGCACACCCACAGACCTAAGAGAAATAGACTTTTAATACAGGGTTGATTTATGAGTGATATTTATTCTGCGACTCACTTTTATTTGTCAGTAAAACTGATTTAAACACAACGTGACATTTATGTTTTGTCTAATGTAACTTCTGAAGTGATCTAATTTATAATCATTTTTATTTATTTGTTTGAGGGATTACGATTTACTTGTGCCATATTTATTAACGTATGTTGCCATAACTGTAATTGTGATGACTTATGTATTTCAGGTTTATCCTTTTCACTTAATTTATAAAATTTCTACTTTTTATATTATCATATTATTTATTGTGTGCACATTTTTATATTTAATTTATTTTGTTTGTCAGTGTTTCAGCCTGTCAGGGTTGGATAAAAAATAAATATCTATTTTTCGAAGTAATTAAAATAAAGTTTCTATGTTTGCCAACAATGTGCGTCTCTCAAAGTCCATTTATATATAACAACACATGACAAAAGAAAGAAAGAAAGAAATGCTGCAAGATCTTCAAAAAACTAAATTAGTTAGGACTCTCAAAGTTCATTATATCTAGCACAATTAAAATATAAAACGAGAACAAAAGAAAGAAAGAAAGAAATTAAGAAAGAAAAGAAAAAGAAAAAAATTGTGCAAGCTCTAAAACTAAATTAATCAATCTTGGTCCTTGCGTTTCAGTGTCGTGTAAATAATAATAATAATAATAATGATGATAATAATAAAAAATAGAAATGGGCTACCTTTTCTTGCATACAAATAACAGTAGTTTTTTAGGGACACTTACATTACATTGGCATTTTTGGTAAAGTGGCTTAATGGAATTATAAAAGTGTACCCCATTTATTATTTTAATAACAAACGGTGTTACAGGCACAAAATACTGTTGGCTCATGTTTGTGGAAAGCGTCGCGTTTGGATTGCGTCATAATTCATGGCCGCACTTGTTTTTGAGGCAGCAACGCTGAGTAATTTGTAGTCACAGGTTTCACTCACCGCTTAAACAGGATCTGACCCTGTGGTAAGAGAACTCGCTGTTTATCTGATTTAGACTGAAGAGTTTCAGACCAAACGACACTACAAGACGTCGGTAGATGACCGTGACTGTTTTTCTCGTGAAGTTGCATCTGTTGTGAAACATGTAGTTAACGTTAACGTGTGTTTTCGCGAACTGTCACACAGACTTCCTTTTTCGGCTGCTCTCTCTTGTCATGATCGATGTGTACTTAATAAGTCTTATATAAATAAACCTGTCTGCTTAAAGAGACCGCCCTCTCTCTCTCTAAAGGGTGAAAGGAAAGGCTGTCTAATCTTTGTATCCAAAGGTGTCCAAGGATGACAGGAGGCTTGAAGGGGCTGCTGCAATTGTCTCTGTGTCTTGTGGTGTGGACAGTGCCAATAGATCGCAACCAAGACCCTCCCCATGAGGAGAGAGCAGAGGAGAATGTGGTAAGACTGGTCTCAATCATGCTCATAGACTAGAACAGGGATCCTCAAATCTGGCCCACGAGATCCACTTTCCTGCAGAGTTTAGCTCTAACCCTAATCAAACACACCTGAGCATACTAATCAATGTCTTCAGGATCATTAGAAAATCACAGGTAGGTGAGTTTGGTCAGGGTTGGAGCTAAACTCTGCAGCGCATTGGCCCACCAGGGCAAGATTTGAGGAACCCTGGACTAGAACATGCCATGTGCGTTAATCATTTGTTCAATGTTCACATGCTCTCTTGTTTTGGCTGTACATGCATATGTCAGGATACTGGTCTGTACTATGACCGTTACCTCAGAGAGGTGATTGAGGTGCTGGAAACTGACCCTCACTTCAGAGAAAAACTCCAGACTGCCAACACAGACGACATCAAGGTAAAGAACGCACTCTGTAGAGCACAAAAACTGGAATCCCATTCCTCTTCTTTATAAAAAATGACAAGGTATAAGTATCCTTCAAGACAGACCTAACAGGAGCTCAGAGATTAAGTTATAACATAAGCTTCTGTAGCAAGTGTGATTTCAGCTTTATTTTTTATCTAGTTGGTCACATACTCTCAAAACTTATTTTATCTATCATATGTTTATTTATTTATTTTTAAATAATTATATATACATATATTTATTTTAATAATCTATATTGTATTTTATATGTATAATGTATTGTATACTTTTATACAGTGACTAGTCCTTTATTGTATGTTTTTATTCTTTTATATAATTTGAGATGTTTAGGTCATTACCTCATAAAAGGCAAGTACAGTCTTGTTTTGCTTTTTTATTTATTTAATGGCTTTATTATTAACTCTTTATTTAGGAATTTAATTTATTTTAATAACATGTATTTTACATTTATAATGTACTTTTTGTTCAGTGATTTATATATTGTATTGTTATTTTTATTATTTTATGTAATGTGTAATTTTATGAGATGTGTAGGTCATTGCTTCATAAAAGACATTAAGTACATAGAACTTGTCCCTTAGTCTTTTTTCTTAAATTGACATGCTTTTTTTCAAGTTTGTAATGTTGTGATTCATCTCATGCGTGTGGAGCTGGTTTGTTTGGTTCATGATTTTATAAAAATCCCTATGGAGAAAATGAATGAGGAAAATGCCAAATGTGCACAGTCTCTGTTACGCTGTTTTGCCTTTGAGCTTTGAAGTTTTATAATTTCATTGGTACTTCAAGTACTTAATGGAAAGCTACTGTGTTTTAGAATGGACGCCTCAGCAAGGAGTTGGATTTGGTGGGCCACCATGTGAGGACGCGACTGGATGAGCTGAAGAGGCAAGAGGTCTCACGCCTCCGGATGTTGCTGAAGGCTAAACTGGACAGCACCAACGCACAGAGTGAGTGTGTTTATGTATTATGTATTTATGTGTTTGCGTGACTCTCACACGCATGTTCACGCAAATGCTTGTTGTGATTGCAGGTGTTCAGATGGATCACGTCTCCTTGTTGAAGCAGTTTGAACATCTGGACCCTCATAATCAGAACACATTTGAAGCCAAAGACCTGGAGCTGCTTATCGTAACGGTAACACCCATTCCTAACATGCTATAATGTGAAATAGCAAAAACATCATTAACCAACAACGTAGATTGACAAGCATTCAGTGCATACTTGTTTGGCAACTACATTTAACCTTTCAAATGCTACTAAATAAAATCCTGATCTTTCTTCTTTTCTTGATTTTGTGTTAATCCTATTGTATCAGATTATAGTATACATAGTTTTTCGTTTTTTTTAAGATCTTTTTATTAGAAATTTCTACACAAAAGCAGAAAGTACACTGAGCAGGTGCACAGATAACTGACTCATTCGCCTCAAGTGAAAATTTCACAATATTGTATTACCCCAATTAACAAAATCCCAACCAATTGCATACAGTAAAATTAGAAAAGAATAATACATAAAAACACAAATACATAATGTAAAAATAAAAAAAATAAAAATTTACATAAAATAAGGGGGCACATGTATTTGTTTCAAATGCGAGTAAATAAAATCCTGATCTTTCGTCTTGTTTCTTCTTTTTTTTGTGTGTGTATCCGTTTCTATCAATATACTAATCGTTTTCCTTTTTTATTTCTTTTTAGTTTTTACTACTCAAAATATAAAGTGCACAGATAACAGACCCACTCACCACAAGTGAAAATTCCACAATATTACATAAAAACACAAATACATTATTTGAAAATAAATAATAAAATCAAACAAACAGAAAAAAATAAATAAAGCGAAGAGTCATACACTTTTTTTTTTTTTTTTTTTTTTTTTTTTTTTAAACAATTTCAAGACGTTCTGGTTACAGTAAAATAGGGCTGCTGGGCTGATATTTTAAATAATGCTCATTTAAGCACTGGTTGCTAGGCAACCATACATCCCATAATTAAAATGTCAGCAATGCAAAACATCAAAATGCAACAACTGGCCACAGACACTTCCTGTAAATTCTCTACTGTCATTTTTTTTCTCATTTAATATCTGTATTTATTTGTGAATATGTTAGTAAAATGGGTTGCGAACAGCATTTTGTGTCGACTGAACTAAACTAAAATTTGTTACATGGTTATGTGACATAATTGATAAGAGTATATAAAATCTGTTCCAGCTGTTTGTAATATTTGTTACACAGTGATTTAGGTGTTAACTCTTCCTGTTTGACCCATAAAAAATAAATCACTGGCCAAAAGGGCCGCAAATAGATTTTTTTTTTTTTTTTTTTGTGCTTATATGTTAGGCCACTAAAGATCTTGAGAATTACGATGCGGAGCGTCACGAGGAGTTTAAGCGCTACGAGATGCTGAAAGAACACGAGAGGAGGGAGTACCTGAAGAGTTTGGACCAGGAGAAGAGAGAGAACGAGGAGAAGAGAATCGAGGAGCTGAAAGAAAAGCATCGGCAACACCCTAAAGTTAACGCTCCGGTGAGGGAATGAAGAACGGGAGATGTATGGATAGAAAGATCGACTGAGATGAGTTTTATTTGTTGTACTTCCTGAGTAAAACTTTCTTTTTTTACTTCCTTTTCAGGGTAGCGTGAATCAGTTACGGGAGGTCTGGAAAGAGACAGACGGGCTGGATCCACAGGAGTTCAATCCCAAGACATTCTTTAATCTCCACGGTGAGTCTTTTTGTCCTCAAGTAGTCCATAAGCAGCCGTTCCACGGGCAAAATGAATTTAATTGCGTTTTCTCACTTAGATACGAATGGTGACGGTGTGTTGGATGAACAAGAGCTGGAGGCCCTCTTCACAAAAGAGGTAATGTTTCACTGAATCATTGCATTCTGTTATTGACAGTGATGGAAGCCTCTTTATGCTGTGACTGAGTCAGCTGTTAAGACTCTAGTGGGCTCTAGTGGCTGTCCTGAAGAAACATCATTAACATGGGGATCCATGATGAAGCTCATAAAAGCTGTTCTTGACATGCAAAAAAACGAGCAAATGGCAATAATTGAAACGGTGCCAGCACCTTTCTGATGTGTTCATCTTTTCTTTTCTACTCTCTTAGCTGGAGAAGGTGTATGATCCCAAGAATGAAGAGGATGACATGATGGAGATGGAGGAGGAGAGGCTGAGGATGCGAGAACATGTCATGCAAAACGTAAAGCCTTCACTTTTTTTTTGCAGTGACTCTTGATAATTGAGTGTGTTTACACAACGCTAAAAACGAAACCAAAATCAGTTCATAAAAGCCTAAATGCTGTGTTTAGATGAAATTATTTAGAATTTGTGTGAGGTTTTTCTTTGATTTTATTGTTTAAAATGTGCGATGAGTGAACGCTGAATAAGCCGTTAGAATGTCCAGGCAAAAATGTTGTAGGAGTGTGTATGTAAACGCTTTCATTCTCTCTCTCTTTCCCTTTATCTGTCTTTCTACTTCAGCTTTTTAACACTTTCACAATGTGTGGAGCAGCAGTGACTCCATCTGTTCTGTTCCTTCAGGATGCATGAGATGAAGAAATAGTCATTCTTTTATCTGATTTTCACTGCATTAGAGTCTTTTTTTTTTTAATTAGTTACTTCAGTTCATTTTTAATTACCTTTAAACCGTGCACTTTTAAATAGCTTTTTCCTCTCTCGCTGCTTCCTGCAGGTAGATCTCAATCATGATAGACTGGTCAGCCTGGAAGAGTTCCTCAAATCTATGGAGAAGAAAGAGTTTAACAACCCGAAGGAATGGGAGGTTAGAGCCTGATTTTGATGCATGGTCTGACTTTATTATACTGTCTTTACATGGCAGTGTTTTGTGCCAACTCATTATCTTTCTATACTTCAAGACACTAGATGATACAATGCCAGTGTACACAGAAGAGGAGCTGCAGCGCTTTGAGGCAGAACTTCGGGATAGGGAGGTGGAGCTTGGCAGAAGGGTGGAGAAATTACAACAGGAGCAGGAACTTCTCAAAGAGAGAAGCAAAGCCCTAGAAGCCCAGAAACGAGAATATCAGCAGGTAAAAGACTGCTTTCAATTGGTTGCAGCCCTTTTCTTGTTATTGCCTTTATATAATTAGAATAGCTGGATTTTTTTTTAGCTATTATTACAAATTTCCTTTGAAAAGAATGCTTGTATAATAATATTTAAAAATAAATAAAGTGTGTGTGTGTGTGTCTAAAATAATACAAATTATATTTTTATTAAATTACACATTTAAAACTCAAATTGTGATGTGATATACATTTTATATAAATGTAATTTTTGTTGTTGTTGTTTTTTTTTACTGTTAATCCCATACTAAAACAAATGATTTGATTTAATTTGCAACATCAGTACTGCATATTATAGTAATTTTTGATGCATTATTGCGATGCCAGATAACTGACAGCTTGTTTTACTTCTAATCAGGCAGTAATGGAGATGTCACAAAAACAAAAGGAGCAACAGGCACTGAATAGACAGCCTCCCTCAGGTCCCAATGGTGAGCTACAGTTTCAACAAGAGATCCAGAAACTAGCAAATGAAGACAGTCAAGGTGAGAAAATTGAAATTAATAGTCTGTGATTCAACATTTGGTTAACCTTACTTGATATCAATTAAATAAAAAATGGACTGCATTAACACTGTGGAGGTGAATTTTTCAGCATGGTAAACATTGGCCGTTTTGTCTTTTTTAGTGGTGAAAGTCCCAGTCGTTCAGAATGGAGATGTTCAAAATAACCTGCCAGCTGAGCCACCACAGAATCTGCCACAGCACACCTCCTAACACGCACACATACACACTTCTACCTGATTTAAAATTTCCTAGAACCTGCCTTTGAATTGCACAGTGCACATACACATACAAGCCTATTGACTTACCCTGTTCTTATCTTATTCTCTCAGCATAACATAACCAGACCAGAACAACAGTAATTAACAGTATACACTCCTCATACATACTCATGGTGTTTTCTGCTTCGTCCGCAACCAAATATGCTCAAATCCCTAATAGAGTGGCATCAATATAGACCGTTCGCATGTTCCCTTCTAAAGAATGGCAAGTTAATATTGGATATGTGGCTTTGTATGGTGGTAGTCAGGGTCTTTTAAATATTGCTACTTTAGCCCTGGTTTCAAAGTTTACAGCCCTGCTTGCTTTTCGTTGTGTTTCTCGACTGGAATAATGTGGTTCTTTTGTGGTTCACATTATGTCAGTAAAACCTTATAAACAAGGCTTTCTGATGACTCAGACGAGCACAAAACTGTAAATCAAACATTCAGATACAGCAATGTGCAATGAATCTACTTTTTTAAATGTAATATAAAATCCCACTGATTTGGTTTTTCTTTTTTATTTTATTTCTTTCATTTAATAAAGGATATTTAAGAAAATATGCTACTGTCAGATTTGAAATCCTGTAAAATAATGTGGTTTTTATTAAAGGGATGTTAAAAGTGAATGATTTTTTTTTTCTTGTGGAACACACAAAAATATATTTTGAATAAACTGAATTGCTAAACATCTGTCTATATAGTAAAAGAAAAACAACACTGGACCCCATTGATTTTGACTGTATGGACAAAAACAAAAACCACTGAGACATTTTTCAAAGCTCTTTTGTGTTCAACTGAAAAAAAGAAACCCATACAGGTTTGGAACAACATGAGGGTACACTGAAAAGAATTAGGTGTAGAAACAATTTTGACTCAGTAATTGCTAGTAAATACAACAAACTGCAGAGAATCTGCAAGTAACACATTTAATGTAACATTTTGAAGTAGAAAACCTGAAAATAGTATTTTCTTGTAAGACATACTCCAATAAAGTTTTATTCACAACTTCCAAAAAAATAAATTTTTACAGTGCAAGTAAATGACAACATTTTCATTTTTGGGTGAAACCTTTCACGCAACCAATACTTCAAGATTATAGTGCTTTGCTTTACAAATATTGATCACATGATCATGTGTAACAGCAAAAATCCAAATGATTGGGTCTACGAGTGACACTGAACATTAAATTCAAATTGTGATCTGCTACAAATACCATCAAAACCATTCATATGATGACTCGGCCCATTTGTTTCTGAACTAAACTAATTCCTTGGCTCCAAATGTCAGTTTCAGCTGTTCTGCATTTCTCTTCCAATAAGTCAATTTGTTGTTTTTTTCCATCTCTGTGAAAACTAGTGACAGCGGCATTGTTCTGAAGTATTCACTGATCTGCGTTGAGTGTAATTTGCTCGCACTCCTTGCCACATGGCACATACTTGCTGCAAATTCCATTCCAATTCTGTCAGACACTCCCTAACCCCAGTGACCTCGTTGCACCGCCTCTTCTGCTGCAGCTGACACCTTTCACTTACACTCTCCAGTGATACTACCATAGATATGTAAATAATGTCCCTCCACTCAAACACCAGTACAGCAATCTGAAACTAAGTGCTGTCCACATATTTAAACTCTTCTCACAGGGATTGCTTGCTTGAGGGGTTTTGCTACAAGAGATTTTTTAAAGGGATAGTTCACCCAAAAATGAAAATGTCATCATTTGCTTGCCATCCTGTTTTTCAAAATCTGTATGACTTTTCTTCTTGCTATGGAACATAATGAAAATATATTTTGAATGTATTTAGTTGTTTATTTGTTTTGCATACAATGAAAACCAGTGAGGTCCAGTGTTGTTTTGGACAAATGACAAAAAAAAAAAAAACTAAATTAAAACTAACTTAAATTGAAAACACAATATAAAAAAAATTAAATATATTAAAGGGGTCATATGATGTTGCTAAAAAGAACATTATGTTGTGTATTTGGTGTAATGAAATGTGTTTATGCGGTTTAAGGTTCAAAAAACACATTATTTTCCACATACTGTACATTATTGTTTCTCCTCTATGCCCCGCCTTTCTGAAACGTGTCGATTTTTACAAAGCTGAGCGTTCTAAAAAGCGAGGTGGGCTGTGATTGGCCAGCTATCCAGTGCGTTGTGATTGGCCGAATACCTCAAGCGTGTGACGGAAATGTTACGCCCCTTACCATTTTTTTTTAAAATTATTATTGGAACATAATGAAACAATACAGATTGTAAAGAAAATATTCATTAAAGAGATAACAATAAGAGCGAATAAGATCTGCCAGAGGAAAAAAGAAGGGGGAAAAAAGATAACCAAGTAAAAAAAAAAAAAATAGATAAATAAAAAGCATTATTTAGCATAATTTTAAAGGGGGATTTTAAAATGAACACAAAGAGATAATGTTTTCCTTGCTTTGACATTCTTTGATACAGAAAGTGTTTTAAGGTATTATGGACAAGATGAAACTACTGTACATCTGTTTTGGAACTGTAACTATACCAACATTTTCTGGAAGAGCTTTTGCAGGTATATTATTGATTTTGTATACCCTCATTTTTCTTTATTTTGGAAAGATGTTTTATTTGGTTTTGTTAATATTGAGAAAAACATTGAAAAATAATTTTACCTTATAAATCTTTTACTACTTTTAGCGAAATTTCATATTCATAAATGTAAATTCTCTAATCATAAGCCATTATTCAAAGTTTTACACCCCTTACCATATTGTGATGCCGTGTCCCGGCCGGAGCGACGAGACAAAAACATTAAAACCCATTACAAACGAGGCATTTGTTGCATCCAGTGGGGACATAATTACTGATTATAATGACTTATACTGTCTTTTTACGCGTTGCGAGCCGTTTTAGGTAGGCGTGGTTGACTCTTAACTTTTATAAAGAATATCTCTTTGGATTTGAGACTTTAGTCTTTGCATCTTTACAGATCTTCTTTATGTACCAAGAGCTTGTAACACTCCAAAGGGAAAGGAAAAATTGAAGTCGCATCATATGACCCCTTTAATAAAAATATAACAGTATCTCAATGATACTAAAATAACGCTGATTCAAAAGTTAAATAACAATTAATTCTAAAGTAATGCTGATGAGTGAGATTAATCAAAAATAAGTTTATTAAAAAGTCATGTTGACCTCAAATATAACTGTTAACAAAAACCAACCCTCATATTTGTTTTCATGCATTTAATTCATTTAATTGTCCTTTGTGACAAACAAAGTCAGGTTTTGCTTCAGTCTGATGTAGTTTCACAAGGACAGGGAACTCTGTTAACCAGCAGACGGAGGAAGGAATTATTTGTTGAATGCTCTAGCTTGTAAAAGACAAGAGGACAAGAGGAATAAAATAAAGAGCCAAGAAAGATGAGTCAGAGACTGTGGGAAGAGTCTGATGAAAGGAGTACTTGCTTTGGATAGTGTGAAAGAGGGCTTCTGTTCGAGTCATTTGCATCACTGAGTGGGCTGACTGCTGCTGAATCATCCACTTTTCATAATGCCTCATTTTTTATTTTTTTTTATTTTATACCAACCCTTATGAAGTCAGTAGGTATTTTACTGTGCCTCTGGAGCATTGACTGTCTGGTTTCCACATCCTGTTTCTCGCATTTGCTTATGTTAGGCCCGTAACAGTGATTTCTCTGCTTTTTTTCACTCTCATCCTCTACATAAACCACTATCATGACAGTTTTCAGGTTTTTTAATGGATTAATCCACCAAAAAATAATTTACACTCTTAAAAATAAAGGTGCTTTAAAGGTTCTTCAAGCGATGCCATAGAAGAACCATTTTTGTTTCCACAAAGAACCTTTCAGTCAAAGGTTCTTTAAAGAACCATCTCTTTCTTACCTTTTTATAATCTGAAGAACCTTTTTTCGCCACAAAGAACCTTTTGTGAAACAGAAAGGTTCTTCATATGTTAAAGGTCCTTTATGGAACCATTTAGACAAAAAGGTTCTTCTATGGTACCGTGAAGCACCTTTATTTTTAAGAGTGTACTCACCTTTAGATCTTTGTTTTTCCATAATGTGAAAGTGAATGGTGTACAAGGCTGTCGTTCTGTATTTCATGGAAGTAAATAAGACATACAGGTTGGAACAACATGAGGGTGAGTAAATGATGACATAATTCTTATTTTTAGATGAACTACCCCTTTAAAATCTTAACTTCTTGTGCTGTAGTTTCAGCAGAAGCAGATCTGAGGCATGTGTATGCGGTTCTTGTGGAGGAACCCGACCATTAGAATTGCACAATGACTGATTTCTTATTGGAAGACCAGGTATTTGATACTCTCTCTCTTGACGTTCTCTCATTCACATTTCCTACATCTCTACCCTTGATCTTTCCCTCTCCCTGTTCTTTCTCTGCCTGTGAGGTTTGAGTGATGATAAGAGACAACTAAGCAGTTAACACAGCACTATTATTCAACACTACAGCACCTCCTGTCTTTCTATCTGGGCCATATTGCAATAGCCATTATGGACAGGAGAGGGAGCTAAGAGCTCATAAAACTTCCCACAGCACTTCTAGATCTGTGCCAAACATACTTGGTTGTCATCCCCCTATATCATGATAGCCACATATGAGAAATTTCTGCTGCTTCTGCACCATTATGCGTGGTATTTATCACTCTCTGGGCTGTACGATCCGACAGCGGTGAAAATGCAGACAATGGATTGCAGCCTGAGCATAAAACATTGGTCCTGATGTACTTTCTGATAATGCTCAGGTGATTTTTGGGGTCATCACTTTGCTATTGTGTGACAGAACCAAACCGTCCTGCACTTCAGGCCACCACCACACACACAGAAACTAAATGTGCTGAGTTCACAGGGACAGACCACAGTCTCCCGCTGCGTTTGTCATCTCTAGAGTCACTTACAGGACATTGCATGCCAAGAAGAACCTAACATACAGAATTCGAATAAATGTTTAAATGTTAAAAAAAAAAAAGCATGATGGTCATGGATCTGCTATTTGGGTTCTGGAGCGTCACATAAATTTACATCTGTGCTCTCTTACAAATAAGGGTTCCAAAAGGTGAACCTTTGTGTGTGTGTGTGTGTGTGTGTGTGTGTGTGTGTGTAGAATATTTTAATTATCCAAAGAACCTCTTGAGGAATGAAAAAGTTTCATGAATGTTAAAGGTTTTTCATGGAACCATACATGCCAATAAAGAATCTTTATTTTAAAGAGTGCAGAATAACCTTTTTTCCAATATAAAGAACTCTTTGTGAAATGGAAATATTCCATGGATGTTAAAGGTTCTTCATGGAACCATAGATGCCATAAAATAACCTTTATTTTTTTAGAGCCTTTAAAGAACATTTTGTGGATTTGAAAGATTCCATGAATGTATAAAAGTTCTTCATGGAAACATA